TTACTTTTTCTTCATCAAATTATCAATCATTTGAATGCATGCAAACTTTGCCTTCTTGATAGGACTAATTTTCATGATAATCTGCCCTCAGTGCGCGCACAATTTGGCATGTATACATGGATAGATCACATCTTTTTCAGAGCGCAACTTGTTTTAGATCCAACTCTCATCAGATTTTGAGGTTTCTTTACGTTTGTCAAATTTTACTGATCAGTTGTTCTCATTTTTTTTCCGGACATGATATTCCAACAGTCAAGAGAATGTAGCATAAAATAATATAAAGTAGGCATTGGGTCTAAGTTGTAAGAATCATAACAGGTAGGCCTAATCTTTGCTGTAGTAACTGGATGTAGTGTGTCATAAGTTGTGGGAGTTAGTATTAAGAAGGATTTGTGACATTTTGTTTGATACATGTGTTCCTCAGATTGTGTAGGATGGCAGAAATGCATTTCTGGCCATGGGAAATGCTTGGAGAGGCAATCAGTGTTCGTGTATTTTTTATATGAGCTATACAAATGTTTAAAAAGCACGTTTGTGTGCTGCTGCTAGGTCGGTCATGAACATTTGAAGTAAGTTTATAATTGAAGTACAAAAATAAACATCTTTCCTGTGCGCAGTACATAAGATATATTTTCTCATGACATGAGAATATTGTGTTGAGTGTCAATTTACTTGATGCCTGAATGTTGTGAAACGTATCATTACTGGATGATCATTCCCAGACCAAGGTGGGTAACCCTTTTCTAAAATATCTGTCGAAGTGAAGAAGAGTGGGGAAAAATTGCTGTAGAAGAATGGGGCAATATGGCTGTAGAAGAGTGGGGCAGCATAGCTGGTAGAAGAGTGGGGTGACATACTTGTAGTGAATGGAAAGTAAAACTTACCACACTATACTACAATATATATTTATGTGATAAAACACTACAGTAAATTTTCGTAATCCGTGCCTTGAGATGTGTCTGTGTAGGATTCTCTCCCTTTTTTAAAATCTTTGTGTTGTTACTGAAGTTAACTTTTCTTTAATACGACAATGGAATGTTTTAATTTAAAATTTAATTGGTTGGTTAATTGTAATATTTAAATTTTGCTGCATTTCAGAAACTTTGTTTCATTATTGTATTGTATTGATTTTCTGATAACTTTCTGATTTTTTTTATTTTTTTTGGTGGAACCTGAAATAAAGTGTGTAAAAGTGTACTCTTTGAAACTGTAATTTGGGTTTTCATTATTTTAAAATTACTTTGTTTTGTTTTTCTTCATTTTTACAGTTTTCTGACCACATTGTGTAACTGTAGCTGCACACATGTTTTAGTTGAGGGAAACCAGCATGTGCCGGCTGACATAACAGGGAAGGGGGCGACCGCAGGTTGTTAAGACTTCCAGCAAAACATCTAGTTGATACAAAAATGTAGCTTTGTTCACCATGAAATTTATGTAGCTACCGGCGGAAAAGTTTTCGTTAAATTTTAATATTTTTGTCCTAATTTTCTTTCTCTCTGTAAATAGCCAAACCAGCACATTCTCTCCCTTTCTCTCACCATTTTTACAGGGCCACCGCCACCACCTTGGTTGCAATGACCCGTGATGGGTCATGGCAACCAATGTGACGGCCATGGGAAATGTCATGGCACAGATAGCGTAAATTTAACAACACTACTACTATTAAGGTATTATTGAATAAAATGCGAGTAAATAATGCCAAAGACGGCATCTCTGCTACTGCTAGTCATTGTGTAAACTGTAATGTGTTGAGTGTACCATCATGGCCCTACTAACTACACTAACTTCATACTATATTTTATATAGTATTATATATATATAATATATATATATATATATATATATATAGGCATAGCCTAATTATATTAAAAATCATAATAATTATATTATATAATATAATTATAATACTACTATTACTGTAATATAGATTTAACCCATGCCTAAAAATAACTACCCAGTCTTTCCATGGTAACCTCTTTCCATTTACATACATGACCATATTTTGGGTTTTCCTTAAATTATTTCGCCAACTTACATTGTAGTTATGGTATTCTACATTGGACTACACCTAGTAGTACTTAGTTTATGTAGCAGGTTGTTGTTGTAGCTCAAGGGATGTGATACGTCCAAATTTTTGTAAACCATAGTAACCTATCCTTGGACACCACCCCCTTTTTTTTAATACCGGTATCCGAGTAAATTCCTAAATCCTGTTTGTTTTATTTAGACTCGATTCTAGATTTTTATTTATATATATATACCTATATATATATATTATATATAAATAGTCCAGTTCGAAGCGTATTAAACATCACATCATGAAAAACATGTAAGTGAAAAAATTCTTTGTTGTTCGGTTTACATTAACATCTTTTGTGATTTTTTTTAGGCTCTAAACATTGAGATACTTTATCTACTTTGACTTAATTGAGATCTTCAAAAATGTAAGTTTTATCTTTTACCTTAAATGTATATATTGTTTATTGTATTATCTTCTCAAGGAGGCACTTAGCGGGAAAGTCTGCTTAATTGTCTTTATTTTATTTTACAGCCTAAACATATCTTGTTCCACTACTTTTTTCCCCCTTTTATTAAAAAATTGATTACAGTACCATCGATTATGCTTTATAATCGCAAATCATTTTAGTTTTTCAGTTATGGTGCACGATTAGGGAAGTATCTAATTTAATTCGCATAAAAGAATTTCATGATCATCGACTTCATCTCCAGCGCACTGGGGTTTTTAAGCGGGATCCCACGCGATTTCTAATAAACAACAGCCTTCTAGAATAAAATTTTATTTTATTTTCCAGAAAGTTACATGACAAATTCAGATTTGATATGAAAACTGCACCAATTAAGTTTTAGAAAATCGACTACTCTGTAGTCCATATCTCGCATATGCCATAGCCATAACTATTCTCGGCAGTTGTATAGCATTCCTCCAGATAATTAAGAATAGTTTTTAATATAAATATTATAAACAACAATTCATTTCTTTGCATATACATTTTGGGTCATACTGGTCATTTGCAGCTGAATTCAACACGCATTTAAAGGAACTGTGCCTCGGTGTAACACAGTGCAGTATAAGCAATGATTCTTTCCACGCACAATAATCGCTTGGAACCACCTGGACAATGCCGCTGTCGACTCAACATCGGTCAAAAGCTTCAAGGCTGCCCTGGCATCTGCTAGGAGCTGTTAGAATAGCAACATCGCTTCCCCAACCGTTGCACAGATGCCAGTATATGGATGCAGCAACGACCACTACCAGAACATATTAATAAATAAATTATCCAAGAGATAACGTTATGGTTATGAACTTTGAATATTATTTTTTCCTCTTAAGTCTAAAGTAATAACTTTCAGTTAAAATTAAGTAAATATCCCTGTTAAGAAATCGGCCTTTAATTTACGTCCCGCTTTTCTAATAATACTACATCTTAATCCATTATGGGAAAATGTTAAAGAATAAAATTAAATCTTAGTTCTTAGTTTAGTTATGAAAATTTTAGGTATGTTTTGAATTTTTTTTTAGGTGTCAGGTGACACTAAAGGTGGGGGAGAGGTAAAGAATTTGTGACACTTTGTGACGGGGGGGGGGAGGTGGGGGTATGAGAAGATCATTTTTGCGTGACGTAATTTACGAACGACAAGATAAAATATTAAAAGGGCTGGGTAAAAATAAATATAGGCCTAACACGAAGGCGTCATCTAGTAACCGCAAACAGTAATTACTCCAGTGGGTTACATTGGATTAAAAGTGGAAATAAAATTATTAAAATTGTGTAATATTTGATAACTCCTGTGAAGAAGCTGCAGCACCCATATAGAAATATGTGCCCTCCCGAGCGAACCATTAAAGAGACTATTTTTAGCGCTCCTTGTCTTTGTGAAGTATATGGGATTTTAAAGTTTAATTCACTATTTAGGTCTTATTTAAAGACGATTTTAGCACCATTGATTTCGTTGCCTGTTGCTCTTCGCCCCATTCTCATGGCCCGACCCGAGGGCAACGTGGCACCCATGGTGATGCGACGTATATTTTCTGGGGACCACTGGGCTCAACAAACAGCCTGCTTTGAAAACCAGTGACACACTTTGTTTCATGTGACGTCATAAATTACATAAAGATTATTGGATTTGGTTGTTTGTTTTTTAGGTGGAGTGGGATGGAGGGGGGGGGGGGGTCCGTCAAAAAAGTAGACGTGTAACTAGGGGTGGGGGTGTCAAAAATTTGACTTTTTAGCTTACTTACTAGCTAACGCTCATATTTTGGTTATTCTCCTTAGTACATTGGCAATCAACTCCATCTTCTGAATTGTGTCATATAACATTTTCCACGCATAGGGCTCTCCCGCCTCCCCCGAAACATCTAGTGAGGGACATTCGGTCAACAGATGCGCTAGAGTTTCTCCGACCAGGCTGCAATGCCGGCAGGTAGAGTCCCTGTTACGGTCTAGCCTGTTAAAATGGGTGCCGATGGGAGTGTGCTCGGAGCGCATCTGTGTCACTTGCTGCCTGTGACCTATCCTCTCCCCCCACCCCACCCCCCCCCCTTTCCCACCAAGGGTCGTGTCTGCTAGGAGGCGGCATGTTAGCGGACGTACTATATGGAGAGCTCCTAAGGGGCAATAATGAAGTTGTGTTTTTTTTTAAAATGCAAGTATTTATGTTTAGTGTAGCTCCCCTTCTTAAAGACAATAGTTCACACACCCTTTACTTTCAAATAACTGCTGGTGACATAAAATTAACTCGGCACTACAATGATGAGGGAGCTAACAAAAAAAAAAAAAAATTTGACACCGAACAAATAATTTAAGCTCTATGTTGCTTGAGTGTTATAATCAAACAAAACAAGTTAGACAACCATTTAAGTGTAAATATTCAGATAATATCAATAAATTAATGTTGAAATGACGTCATAACATTTAGCTTTACACATTCTATTCATTTTTTTATTTCTTTAGTTTACAAATACGTCACATCCTTACGGGGTAAGAACTGTCTAAAAAATAGCATAGAAATAAAACAACTGTGCAAAACATCATACATATATTTCCTGTGGTAAATAACAACCATACGTTTTTAGTATTTATCGTCAACTTCGAGGTAATTGCAGAACTAAATAGGTTGAAGTTGAACTATTTAAAAAAAAATATTTATCACTAAACTAGTACCATGTCATATAAGATATTGCAATGCCCCTTGCTTTCCTTTGATTCCTTACTATCTGAGATGTGTGGTAAGATTAAGAATTAAGATCAGAGGCGAGAATCAAATGACAATCCTTTTTGGAAGAGAGCTTAATCTCTGCACAATCGCTTACTAAAATTTATTGTTCTTCAATCTGTAATATTCCTATTTATTGGCTTCATGCTTAACAATGTCAATAAGTAAGTATGAATAAATTGGAGACTTAAATTGAGTAATAATAAATGAATCATATTATTAAATGTTTGAATTATAATGTGTATATATTATATAAATAACAAACACATATTTAATCCCAAGCGAGAATCAAACCAGGGTCCAAATAAGCTATTTTCTATTTACCGTTTTTTAAATTAAAAAAACCTATGTATGGACTTACAAATATAATTTCATAAACACTGACACATAAGAGTTTATATAAGGCAATTTCTGTGACTTTTTTTCCTGTGACTTTTTTTCCTAACTTGGAGCATACTAGAGTTAGTAAAACTTATAAAATTTCTTACTGCTCCGAGCTCCAAAAACTTTCCTATAGCTATCTTGCCCCATTCTTCTACAGCTATTTTGCCCCACTCTTTTACCAGCTATGTTACCCTACTATTTTACCAGCTATGTTGCCCCATTCTTCTACCAGCTATGTTGCCCCACTTTACCACCAGCTATGTTGCCCCATTCTTCTACCAGCTGTTGTCCCACTTTACCACCAGCTATGTTGCCCCATTATTCTACCAGCTATGTTGCTCCATTCTTCTACCAGCTATGTTGCCCCCTCTTCTACCAGCTGTGTTGCTGGTACATTTATTATTAATGCCTAGTTAATAGGATGGGTAAGTGACAATAAACAACACATTTCTTTAAACACTTAGCTCTTCATTAACTGCCCCTTAGCCACCCCTTATCGGTAGATCAACGCAGAGCTGAGCTGAAACAATTTGTCAGGATTGGAGCTAGAGTGGAGGTTGGCCAAAAAAGTCTGCTCAAAATCTTTGGTTGTATATGTTATGCTAATGAATTTAAATGCTAAAAAATATAGAATAATGAATTTACTTCCCAAATTATGTCGAAAATAAAAAATAAGCCTAAATTAAGGTATTATTATTCTATAATTTATGCCCCATTAAGTGATGTCATGTAATGACTTTGTATTAACTACCAAGTAAGTAGTCATTCATCATGGAACCTGTGTGATTATACATTTTTTTTATTTTTTTTACTTTTGGCAAATATGATGCCTGGACTGTGTTAAATTGGATTTAGGATTTAAGCTACCCAATTTTTATATATTTCATAGATAATTTTCAATGTCATATCCCCAAAATATTCATAATAATTATACTTTGTTTCATGGCATCTAATTCCAAATATAGCCATAAAATAAATATATTTCTTATAGAAATAAAATAAATGTGATTGATTTATTATTTGTCTAAATTATAATTATTTAACTTTAATTTGATATTTTTATTAGGCCTATAATCTGTAATATTATGAATTATTTGTATTATTTTTTTTTTAAACTATCCATAGCCTGTTTTATAATTGTTATATTATATAAAATAACATTTAGTAATACATAAATGTGCTTTCATTTTATTAAATCAAATTTTTCCCCCCTCCATTCTTAGAACTCTTTCATAACATCAACTCTCAAAATGGAGGATATAAGAATAAAGTTTTACACTGTTTGTAGAAGAGCATGACAACATGGAGATGGACGTTGAAGAGTTTGATTTTGAATCAGGGGGAGATGGTCGCTATCGAAGTGGGGATGCTCTTTTTGGAATTTTGGCAGAGCTGAGACAAGCTGGCAAATTTTGTGATGCGGTTATAAAGGTAAGAGTTTATTGTATTCTCATCAATCTGTTATTGTCTTGTCAGTCATAATGATTCACACTACTACAGTGGGGAAATGTCACCTGTTGTCAAAGCTACAGTTTCACTTGGGTATGTTTCAAATTGTTTCTTCTAGCATTCCAAATTTAAATATTCAAAACATTGTCTCGTGATATGGGCAAAGTTGTTTTTTATAAAAATAGAATTAAATCTTTATGAAAATATATTTAGTGTGTTGACATTTATCATTGTCCTTTATCAGGTTATAATTTGACTATATATTTACTGACATCATCTACAGGTTAAAAATCAATCCTACCCAATTCACCGCAACATCATGTCTTCTTGCAGTCTCTACTTCAAATCATTGTTCACCAGTCAGGCTTTCAGGTAGCATTATTTTTTTTTTTTATTTCTTGTAATTTTGTTTAAAACTTTCTTTGCCACCAGATATTGTGTTGTATTTAGTAGTCAATATAAGAAAAAGGTTGAGTTATCAGGACAGCTTAGTCAACATTGTCAACCTTTTATTTTTTAATGCTGTGCTCTCATTTTAAGTTATTCTCGTCTGAATTAAATATCAAAGGCATATCTCATTCCTGAAATAAGAATTTTCAGTGAATTATTTTTTAACTCATCAGGTTCACCACTGAATTAGATCTAACTATGGTCACTAGAATAATCTTTTTTAAAGTGAAATATAAATCTACGTTTTTTTTTAAAATGAATCATTGGTTAGTAGTATATTTTAAAATTTTTTACAAATACTCCTAGCACGAAGAAACGTGAAGTGACCATTCCTGGACTTCCAGCAGAGATAGTTCGGCTACTCATTGACTTTGCCTACACCAGGACTGCAAAACTAACACCAGAAAATATTGAGATTTTACTCCCCGTGGCTGACCAATACCATGTGACAGGATTACTGAAATTGTGTTGTGAATATCTGCACAAGAATCTTACATATGAAAATTGCATTGGGATTTTGAGATTTGCCCAGGTATTATTGTCTTTATTATTACATTTATTTTATTAAAAGAATGTAAAAAAATATTTTTTTTATCTTGGAGAGTGAGGGGGGTGAAGAGTTAGGGAACTGAAATGAGTAAATCATATTTTCATAAAGACCATGAATACTCTGAAGTTAAGTTATGAATGGTCCAGCACTGTGGTGTTAGGGGTCAAGGTGAACATTTCCATATAAATCTACTCTTAGGCCTACTCACCATAATTCAGTGTTGTAATAGCATTTCTACAAAATAGAATACTGTTTTATTTGTAATTAAAAGTTCTTATTCTTTAACATTGGACTATAAGCTATATTTCAAAATAGGGGACGTGGGAGGGTAACTCACAAATGAAAAGTCTAATCAAGGGACAAATAAGAACAAATGTTGGAGCCACTATTATATAATATACATAAAGAAAAAAAGACAGCTAATTTGAGTAGATGGTTTCTTGAAATCCAGTACAGTTGTCAGGCAAATAAGTGTTCTGTCTAAATTTTTGCTTAATCTTTTAATATCTTTGGAGTAGGTCGGGGTTTGAATCCTAATTTTCATTTCTTAAAAAAATATTGCCAGATAATACAGAGTTGATTTTTTTTTATTGAAAAGATTTATAACTTCTTAAATATTCATGATAAATTGTTATATCTCCCCCCCCCTCCCCCCCCCCATTTTTCCACATGCTCTATATTTTGTTGATAATCAGCACTGGTCAAGGGAATTTAAGAAAAGCAAAATATAGGCAATTAGGGGAGAAGACCTTCCACAGATCACAAATTTACTGATGTATGTATCTACATACGTATCCCTACATGTACAGATATATGTATAGGTATCAGTATATATCATCATATCTAACCCTAACCCCTCCCCCCCCCCCATTTTTCCACATGCTCTATATTTTGTTGATAATCAGCACTGGTCAAGGGAATTTAAGAAAAGCAAAATATAGGCAATTAGGGGAGAAGACCTTCCACAGATCACAAATTTTATTTCAGTATTACTGAATTATTATTTTTTTAATTCATCAAGGCTCACAACTGTCGTGGATTAGAGAAAGCAGCATTAAGATACACATTAAAGAACTTTAGTCATGTCTATACATCAAGTAATGAATATCTGCAATTAAATCTGGAAATGGTAAGTCAGCTGAGGATGCTGCCAATGGCAATGTATGTTTATATTTTTTGGGGGGAGTCAGTGATAAAGGATTAAATCTGAATAAGTAAATTAAACATTTTTAACCAGCTGTTGGACTTCTTTTCATTGAATTAATTCATCTGTTTACAAAATAAAGTTAAGTTAATCAACGTCTTTGCATTTCAATCTAAAAACAAAATCTAAATTTCAAAAACTTATCTAAACCTTATACATAAATCATTTGAGCAGGTCTGTAATATGTTGTCATCCCACCAACTAAATGTAAGCTGTGAGGAATATGTATTTGATGCAGTGTGTCGATGGGTGGACTACAACCCACAAATGAGGTTGGTGTTAGCTTCAATCAATTAAAATTGGATTGACATGATAAAATCATTCAAATCACAGAGCTGCTTCAACTTCTGATTATAAATAAAAATATGTACCATTGTTTGTAGTGTTTTTGTACATGCCAGTAAAGTGGGACATGAAAATTATGTTGTTGGTTTTTTTTGTTTTTTTTTTACAAGAATCCAAGAAATTACCTGTAATGTATATTAAAAAATGTTAATGGAAACAGTCACAAATATTTTACATAGATAAATGTATTAACTTAAAAAATGTATTAAAATTGGATAAAGAAATAATGATTTAAAAAGTGGTAAATAACTACGTTAACTTTTTGTGTTTTTTCCAGGAAGGCCCATATGAAGAGTCTACTTGCCACTGTAAGATTGGGCCTGCTCCCCTCCGCAGTGTTTGAAGGAAAGGTTAAAGTTCACAGACTGGTCAAGAATAACATTGATGTCCAACCTCTCATTGCTGACACAGAGGCTTTTTTGGCAGGTACTGGCTCAGTGACATGGTTTTTTTGATAGTTTTGCAGTCTTTTCGTTTCAGTAGTTTGTTACCAAAATACCAACAACCTTTAGCTGATGCAGAGGGTGGATGGCATCTTCTCTTTTTTTGTTGCACAGAGAGCATGTACGCAGATAGAAATTAATTTATTAAGAGGATGACAGTTGCAAGATTGTGTTACTTTATTATGTTATGGTTGTGCCATTCTCCTATTCTATCCCCCACCCATCAACTTACCCAGCACACTTTTGTTTCCCACCTGCTTGTTCATTTATTTTTGCAATTTTTTATCGGGCCACCACAAGTTTGCTTATTGATTTATTGTGCTGTTATCTAGATCAGAGCTCCACAACTGGTGTAACAGGGCACACTATTGTGCCATGAGATTATGCCTGGTGTGCCAAGCAAAATGCCTCCAAGAGGAGGAAAGCACAGAGTGTATGTAGGCACATAAATATTCTTCTTCTTGTTCTTAGCCTTTCTTACTCCCAATGGAGCACAGGCCATCCACAATACTTTTCCATCTGTCCCTGCCCTGGGATATCTTTGCTAGTTCAGCCCAACTTTTCTTCATTCTCTTTATCTCTGCCTCTAATCCCCTCTTGCATGTTTCTCTTTATCTTCCTCATAAATATGATATGATTATTGCTACAAAGGGGCATCTAAAAAAGCTTTCAAAACACCGCAGAAATATGTCAAATGGGGACAGTTGACTTAGAATTATGCAGTGTAATTTGATGCCTTTCAGTATTACGACACATCATGCATGTTTACTACATTTTGTTATGTTGTATATTTTTGCATGTTTTTCCTTGTGGTATGACACAGAATTCTTGGAAAGGCCTGGGGTGTGCTGCGTGGGGAAAAATGGTTGCTGAGCTGTGATCTAGATTTGGCTACATTTTGCCAAAGTAGGATTTCTAATTCATTTAGTGTACTAACAACCTATTAGTCTACCTTATGTGACACATTTTGTTTTAGTCATTTTGCCGTAAGTCCCTGACCCCCATATCTAGACAAATAGAAGAAATAAGCATGAACTACTTGTTTTTTTAATGATGCCACTGATTGGAGGCTTATTTAATTTTTGAAATATGTCAAGTCTTCCTCGCCTTATACTTCAGCTGTTGCCATCATACTGATTGAAAACAAACTCATATTTAACACACATTGTTCCCAAGAACTCGACAAATCAGAAGAACCTGACTTTGACATGTCATTACCCTTTGCTCGCCCACGAGTGCCTCATGAGATATTATTTGTGATCGGCGGATGGAGTGGGGGCCGACCAATTAAAATGGTTGAAACTTATGACACTCGAGCAGACAGATGGGTTGTGTGCAATGCTGAAGACAGCAGTGAGTATAGGAAATAGAAAGCATTATAGAAAGAAAACATGCATAACTTTTTTTTTCTAATTTATTTTGAAAACAATTCATTTACTATTCATACATTGCACAATTTTTTTTTTTTCTTTAGTCTTACATTTATTATTTTTTTGTCATTCTTTGGTCATATCTAAAAAAAAACTAACAATAAAATTCTCATAATAATCTTAACATATTTAAATTAAAATGTATATACACAAACTTGTGGCAAATTGTGGTAACGGTACATTATAATTTATATATATTTGTACAAAGATTTATTACATGTAATGACTGTGGGAGCTGCCTAGGGAAGACAATAAGATGAAAAGGGGAGCAACTGGGGAAAAGGCTCTGCAGATAATAAGCATTTAATTCAGCGGTTCTCAACCTGTAGGTCATGACGTTTTGGGGGTGTTGAATAACCAGGTCAAAGGGGTCGCCTAAGACCATCGGAAAACACATATACTCTACAGTTATGAAGTATCAATGAAAATAATTTTGTGTTAGGGGGTCGCCACAACATGAGGAACTGTATTAAAGTGTCGCGGCATTAGGAAGGTTGAGAACCACTGATTTAACTGACCATTTTTTACAAACTACAAAACTATATTTTTTTTCTTTTAAAAAAATCACTGTTTAACTTCTGCAAATGCAAAAAAGTATTCACTTTGCATTTATTCAGCTCCAAGAGCATACCATGGTGTTGTTGCTATTGGCTGTTTAATCTACGTGATCGGGGGCTTTGATGCCACTGAATGTTTCAACAGCTGCAGAGTGTTTGATGCCAGAACCAAAATCTGGTCAGAGATTGCGCCAATGAACAACAAGAGGTGAATTACAATAGAGTAAACAAGAATATAGTAAAACAAGATTATTAAAATTGTGGAAGAGCATTTTACAAGGACGATATATGGCAATGCAAATAATTTTTTTTTAAAATTGTTTTCAATAACCCAAGTGTAGAAGTGAGGAATTAATGCAAAAACACTCAAATTAGGAGCATCAGAAGTTCTTTGGCTAAGGAGCTCATTTAAAGTCCCAGGGAAAATGGAAGGTGTAGGTGTAGCCTATGAACAAGGTTTATGGTGAATTTGAGATGTTATTTTGTCAAGAAGTAACTTCATCAATACTCTGTGATTGATTTTTATAACTAAGTTTTAAATAAGCAATTTTTTGTTTTTGGATGATACATATTCAACCAGTCATTTGAATTTTTTTTTTATATATCAATTTATTTCACTACAAAGCATTAAGTGAGAATTCTTCAACTTTTATTTGCACCCAGGTCCTATGTAAGTGTGGCCCTTCTAGATGGCATGATCTATGCAATGGGTGGGTTTGAGGGTCCACCTCGCACCCCTAGTGGTGTTATCTCCTCCCCTCGACTGCGGTCCGCTGAGAGATTCAACCCAAAAGCTAACCAATGGACACTGATCGCCAACATGAGAGAGCGCAGGAGTGATGCTAGTGCCACAACATTCCAAGGTACTATGCCTGTCATCAGTTATAAGGTACTTTGTCTGTCATTAGTTACAAGATACTTTTCCCATCATAAAACATTCTAAACAAGAAAATTATTTTGGAAAAAGGAAGAAGAATGGGCATTCCAACATTGAGCCAGTTGGCTAAAATTAGTTGGATATCAAGAAAAGAACCAATGAGGGTGGAGACATTAGAGGAATATTTAAAAATCATATTGTATTGGAGGAGTAAAATAACATTGACAAGCTAGCTCCAAAAAAAATTATTTGCATGTCAAGTTTTAAGCTAATTGTTGTTTTGCAATTAGTTAAATAATTAAAACTTTTTAATGAGAACATTTTGGTTTACATTTTTTATAGACATATTGATAGGTAACAATAGATAATGTATTTTTGTATAAATCATTTTTGTATTATAGAAAATGAAGCTAATAACTGTCACCATGATCAATTTTGTTTTCAATTTATTGGTTTCTAACAAATTTTTTTATGCTCAAATTATCCTTTGAAAGTCATTGATAAGAAAGGAAAAAATATCAATGAAAATATTGTCAAACATTTTCTTAATGTAAAGTTTTTAAATGAAAAAATAATGTGCAAATGTTAAATGATAAAATAACAAATGTGTTAACATTTGCCTGCAATATGTCTCAGGAGAAATTTACATTTGTGGTGGCTTCAATGGTTCTGAATGTTTGTGTTCCGCTGAAGTGTACAACCCTAAAACTGACCAATGGACACTCATCCCACCCATGTCCAGCCGTAGAAGTGGAGTAGGGGTCATCACCTACAATGGTACTATCTATGCCGTTGGTCAGTAAACTATGTTTACTTTGTTATATAAATCTTTCTAATCTCTCTTTACTTTGTTGCTATTATAGCATTTTTTTCTGGTAACTGGTTTCTCATAAAATATTATATTTCTTGCAAATTGGCTAGAACCACATGTTCGCGGACAACACCCAACTTCATCAATCCGTGATCCCCTCTCAGTTTGCTCAGCTTCTCAGTATGACACAGAAGACAGTGGAGTCAGTTAGCACTGGATGACCATAAACAAGCTCAAATTGAATGATGATAAGACTGAGCTGATCCCCATTCTGCAAATAACACAACATCACTTACTCTCTCAGGTGTGCATATTGAGTTAGCTCAAATAGTGCGGTACCTGGGTGTCTACCTAGATAGAACACTAACTTGAGAAAGTCACATTAACATGATTTGCAAGGCGATTTTTCTAGAGCTGCGCAGGATTAGTCACATCAGGCCCCTCTTAACAATTGATGCAACAAAGAGGCTGATGTCTGCATTTGTGCTATCACCCATGGACTACTGCAATTCTCTCCTGGTGGGTCTTCCATGGAAAGCACACTTTCGCATTTGCTAGCCCAACAATTTGGAACACCCTTCCGGTCGCTCTCAGAAACAACCAGACACTTGAGTCCTTTAAAACCGATTTAAAGACACATCTATTTTGCAAACACCTTCTGGGATGATGTTGTCTACCATATATTCCAGTTAAGGCATATTGGCTGTGTTGCTTATGGTTGAAATGGGTAGAAAGACTTTGACTTGGTATCCTTGTAATTAGTTTTTGTAGTGTTGCGTTTGTTTAAAATGTGGTAAATTATAGATTTTTAAACATAGTTGACTTTGTACAGCGCTTCAAGCCTTTGGGGATGAAGCGTGTTTTTCAAATAAACTTTATTATTATTATTATTAGATTCAACAAATCTAATCTAAAACGTGTTCCCATCAGATATTTAAAAAACCATTTGCTTGAAAAGTACCTTTTTTTTTTTTTAACTAACCACACTATTCACATTGTCATATAAAATAAAATATTAAATTAATTAAAGCTGTTTGATTGCTGATATGTCTTTAACAAGTAAAAAGCTCCTATTGAGACACCTTGTTTTTGGTAACATTTCACATGATTTTGTTTTGTTCCCTCTATCATCACATTGACTTTTGTAACAGCTTGTGTGCTGTTTGTAACAATTTGTCTGCTGTTTGTAACACCTTGCATGCTGTTTGTAACACCTTGTTTGTAACACCTTGATGCTGTTTTTAATACCATGTTCATTGTTTATAAGCAAGTTATTGTAAATTTGCCTGCTGGTTCTGATGCCTGTTTTGTTGCTTTCGTATCATTCTAGGTTGTTAGGTATTTGCTGTTTTTAATCCCCATGGTGCCTTTAAATTTCCCTTGGTTCTGTACACAGGCGGATTTGATGGAGTAACCCGCACCAACACTGCAGAGAGGTACTCACCATCTGAGAGATCCTGGTCACCTATACCGGACATGTATAACACAAGGAGCAACTTTGGTATAGAAGTGAGTGGGCTTGAAATTGTACTGCATTGCAGCACAATTTTTGGTTGTCTTAGTGCTTGTGCAGAAACACACATACACACACAAGACACACACCAACCCTAAAAGTTATTTAGGAAATCCAGAAAAATCATTTTTAAAGTGATTCAGCTGTAAATGTAATTAAAAAGGGGGGGGGGGTCGTTAGTATTATAAAGTATATTAATATTGTTGAACGTGGTTCCACTCCTGTCATGTTTACTACTGGACATACTGTGTTCTTGAGGTATGGGTTCTAGTTCTAGTGGTTGTTGGTCCACTTAATTGCTTCAGTTTTCTACAGTTATATTGTGGGAGTTCCACTTTATTGCTTTTTTTAGATTCTTGCACTTTATTGCTTCATAGTGGTCTACTGTTAGATTGTTTGTGGTATCCTTTATGGTTGTTCTCTGCCCAACACAGTAGTATGTTTGTCATTGTTGATTCCAAGCATGTCCTCTCAACCATGTGCAAACATATTGTGAAAGCAGAACAGAAGGAGGCTTTTTTTTTTTTAAGGCTAAGAATAGCCTGAACGAATAAAAGGCTTTCTGGCATTTTACGATCTTAAATTAATAAAAATTGGAAAACCATTTAGGTTATTTTTAAAGTGTATTCTATTTTTAAGTTTCTCAGATACAAAATGAATAACACTTGAGTCTATATATATATTTATGTATATGAAATAAAAATATTTTATGTAGTTTGTAAAACAAAGTTAATTTTTTAAAATGTGGCTAAATAAGAATGATTTTGGTGGTGTTTTTTTGTCTTATTTGTTGCCAGGTAATTGATGACATGTTATTTGTGATTGGAGGGTTTAATGGTGAGACCACCATTTATAATGTGGAGTGCTATGACAGCCAATCAAATGAGTGGTGAGTACACGAAGCCAGTATTTTGATATGTAAATGAGTGCAATCAATTTGTTATAGATCTTCTACAACCCATTTATTGTTTACTGATTTACATTTTTTTTTTTTAGTTTACAATTATACAAATAAAGTAAAAGTGTTCAAAATAGTAAACTAACTGGAAGCTTTGGAAGTTATTGAAATGAAATGATTTGGGATAGGTAAATTCTATTTTATCTGTAAACTCTTTTTGTATGATAGAAATGTTACATTATCCGCAAGGTTTTGTATATCAACTCTGTCTCTTGGCCTGACCCTTTGTGCTCATCTCGGTCTTGACGCTTGTCCACCCTAGCATCCAGTTCTCTACTACACATATCTCCCCCACAGGTACAATGCTACAGTAATGCCATATTTTCCTTAGTGACATACCCATCTGATCTACAGGTACAATGCTACAGTAATGCAATATTTTCCCTAGTGACATACCCAATGCCATATTTCACCTACAGGTACAATGCTACAGACATGAACCTCTATAAAAGTGCCCTGAGTGCATGCGTGGTGAGAGACCTGCCTGACGTCAGAGATTTTGTTTACAAAAAGGCCGAATCAGACCATCAGATGGCAGCACGAGATACTGTGCCAGCACCTGCGACAGGTGGAGCCCAGACCAAAGCCACAGTGGCAGAAACCAGGAGTTCTGTGACAGAAACCAGGAGTTCTGTGACAACTCCATCCCCTACATCATCATCGTCATCAACATCTGTCATAACAGAGGCTGAATAATGAAGATATCTCAAATTTTTTTTTTTTAACACACACTGTTCCACAGCAGATCCAACCATGAAATTCCAGTTGATAGAAATGTCTCTTTGACCTGTAACAATGCAATGGACTGAGAAACAATGGAGCTAATGCTTACTGAAGATTTTATGGGTGTTATTATATTCCAGCAAATGAAATAGAAATAAAAAATATATATTTACATGTTGAGCTATGATGTCTTCTTACTGAATTGTATTTTTTAAGGGGGGTGTGTGGGAGCAGAAAGCTTTAAAGTGTAATAAATTAACACATTTATTACTTAAAACGGATAATTTATTCAGGATTACAGCAATGTGGCTTTAACTTGAATAGTCCAATGCTTGAAGTTGTAATCTCATTCTGACAGCTCGAGTTATGTAAGCTGGAGTTATTAATGAAACTTGTTTAACTATGCTCAAGATAATCAGAGATTATAGATATTATTTAAATCATATCAAGTCAATCAATTGTTGATTTGTATAAATCGGGAAAGATTTGTGATGTGAATTTAATGCACTGCTGAAGATCTTGTAAAGTTTGCTGCGTCTGGGTTATACAAATGGAAAAATTACTAACTCCAAAGATCCAAGTTTTTTTTTTTAATTTCCATTTGCACAATCATTAAAAATTGAAAAAGTAGAAAATATTGCATTCTTATTACATAAGTGTTTAGAAAAAGTAATACAACTCATTTTTAAACAGTTACATAATAACCAGAACTATAGTATAAGTATAAGTGGCACTGGAAAAGAAAAAAACTATGAAGCTAGATCAAATCTTGTTTATCACATTCCAGAGAATAAGTCACATAAGATTTATCAGTATAAATCAATACAAATGATTGTGGAATGATTGTGGGGCCGCGGCGGGGAGGACTACAAATTTTAACATCAATATAGATCACAGTAAAAATGGATTAACATTATTTTGTATGAAATTTGAACGGCCCTTGGTTGGAACAAAACATTAAATGAAATTAAGACAAACTTTTATTAAAACAAAATTATTTTTAAATTTAAATACAAGGAAAATGACGACAGCTTGAAAGCTTAACAAACGTAATAAAGCAGTGGGCAACTTGCTCAATATTTTCAATAGATAAAGATATGTGAAGTTTACTGTCTTTCTGTTGTCATGATTGTCATGGCAAGTTGATATGGGATATCAAATAGATAACATATAAACAAACGGCAATAAATCTGCAATTGCGTATATAAAGCAATGTAAAAATATATGTATTTTGGCCAATCAGTTCGATAAATACTAATCTAACATGAACTGTATAAATTATATGCATTTATGTCTTATTTAATATGCAAAGACGTCTCGACAACTATTCAAAATCATTTCTACATAGCTTTTAGCTGTTTAAAGTGATATTTATAAAGTTTACAATTTATATTTTTAGTCAGGTTACTAACTTAAAAAAAAAATTATTTAACCCTTTTGGCTTCAGGATACTAATATGATAACCTGAGGTGTAGGACTAAAAAAATGAGTCAATGATAGTCTGGCTTGAAACATACATTCAATAAGATGAGAGGAAAAACCTGTAAATTTTTAAGAAATTGCATTTGCATGTTTAATCAATGGGGGCTGTGGGTTGGTGTTGGACTTTTGTATCAGGTTTTTAGCTCAATTCATTTGATGATCTTTTGTATTTAAAACTACTACTATAATCCAATTTTTTTTTTTTTTTTTAATTGTATAAAAATAATTGAAATGTAGAATAGGTAATTACGTTTCAGTTTTTTTTAAGATACTGATAAAAATATTAATGAATTTTGTTTTGTAAACTCAAGTACATGTGATATTTTATTATTTGCAAAACTTTTTTAAAAAAAGTAATGACTTTATAATTTGTAAATAAAACAATTTAAAAAAACCTACAAAAACCAGATTTCAAGAGCTCTACTGAATGTGACTCACTTTAGGCCAAGATACTAACTTTCAGATATAATCTAATAAATAAAATATTCTATGATGTTGCCCTGGTTAGGATGAAAGCCAGTGTTCCTTCTCAGACGTTCTATAACTTCCTATAACATTAGATTTAAAAAAAATAATCCTATCTGCCAGTGTCCGAGATTAAAGGGAACCCTTTTTTTATGATGATAAAAATAGATGGTAAATATTTATCAATGTTTAAAATTCCAAAACTAATTTTAATTCTAACTTATTGTCAGAGACCTTTCAATACTTTTTGTAAGTAGTCATAAAATGAGTTGGAGTTTTTAAATTGATGAGCATTAAATAGTGTTTTTCATCATTATCAAAAGGGTTCCTTTTTTGTTCGGACACATGTGTAACCATACATTCTATTGCATCAGTAAACAGAGGCGTAAGAAACGTTACATCTCTATACAAGCCCAAAAATAATATTTTATGAAATAAAAGGTGACTGAAATAAATGAATTTCAAGGATCATTTGCAGTAAAAAAATTTGCAATGAAATGCCATCATTTAAGGTACTGCAGCTCATAGGGGGATTGAGCTGTGGGCTAAGTATCCATCTAATGATATAATCTATTAACCGTACTGAAGGAGGCCACCAACCAAACCATAGGAGCCAAAATGATCAATAAATTGATCGTGGGCCCTTAAGATATAGAAGAAGAAGAACTAAAGGAGGCCACCAGCCGTACTGAAGGAGGCCACCAGCCGTACTGAAGGAGGCCACAAGCCGTACTGAAGGGGGTCACCAGCCGTACTGAAGGATGCCACCAGCCATACTGAAGGAGGCCTTCAAACATATTGAAGTAGGCTTTCAAACATACACTGAAGGAGGCTTTCAAACATACACTGAAGGAGACTTTCAACCTTACTGAAGGAAGCTGTTCCAAGGGTGCTGTTTTGTTCCTGCCTCAGTTCATGTCTCACTCACAAGGACATCACTCGAATAAAAGTCTTGGTTTATCATACACACTCAAACCTTTTTGAGAAGTCTGGTCCTTTCTTGTAAAAGAACCTGGCAGAGTGAATTGAGAAGGAGGAGGGAAGTCTGGTTTGAGTCTTGAATATTAGATAATCATATTCTAAAAGAGTACCTCGCAAGTGTAAGTCTCAATATTTTTATCTCCTACTCAACTGTCAAAAACTCTTTCTCAAAATTTTTCAGTCAAGACATAAAATATTTTTTAAATGCAATATTTTTACCTTATTTCCTTGGGATGAGCAATGAACACCAACATAACTAAATAAGAATGAGTCCACACAAATTTTTTTTTTAAACAATCAAGAATAACATGTTTATTCAACTGATTTATAAAACAAAAACTGCATACTTGTGATTCTAAATAGGAAGTACATAATTTTATTCTGTATTTTTTTAAAATGTCAACATTCTAAAGCCATTTAATTATAAGCATTATGTTTTCCCTCAAGTTTTAGAGAATCACAAGTACGAAGCTTATGTACAAAAAAGAAAGAAAGAAAGGCTTCACCTGGACAGAGATGATTTATTTTGACCCACTGAATTTTATTTCTCTGGATGCAATGATGTCATTGGTTTATGCACAAAAAAATGGAGCACATAATTATTTCATCAACACAAGGCATGAATCTACACCCGATATTGAGCACACACATCACCGCTTTCTCATTTCATGCACCACATACTGATAATTCAGCATTGTAAATAATGTATAATTTACAGATAATAAATTACCTATCAATAAATATCCTATGACATGATGTCATAAGCTGATTTGTGAAAGCATATTTTACATGTACAGGCATTCAACATAATATGGCTATGCACATATAACAGAACATCAAAGGACATAGAAGCTAAACTAACTGCAGCTAATTCCTTGTTGTCTAAGTCTCCTGCAGTAAAAAAAAAATAAAAAATTATGGTTCTAGATCAGTTGAGTGATCCCTTGTTTTATTTACGTGGAGACAATGGGTTTCTTCTTTAATTCTTCTGTAGAGTTGCACCCATAAAGTTTACTGTGGTCAGTTTGCATGTCACACACTTTTGATCTATTCGTTTGAAAGATAAAGCTAAAAATTCTAAAAGGTTTATTATTTATGATGTTAAAAATCAACTGGAAAAATTGTCTGGCTTTTCTAGCAACTGCTGCTTTCCCTGAGTGGTAGGTTGGTTGTTTCAATGTCTTCAGTTAACTGACAGTAGTGAGTCTACAGTTACAACATGATAACAACTCCCCACATGCATCATTACTGTTAGTTTTCCTCCCCCACCAACTGATATAATGGTGAAAATTCAGTCAGAACGTAACTAAAGTATTCAGTCATTGAGGTCGTTTAACCACACTTGCATTCTTTAAATGTATCACATGGTCAAAAGGATGCATATCACATTCATAGGTTCACCAAACATCACTGCCAACTAAGCCTAAATACTAGCTGCATTACATCACGCGTACATAGTAGAAAAGTTGTAAACCTACCAAATGACATTTCATACGGAAATCTTCCCTTTTTTTTTAATAAAGTCAAAGACAACCACTTTCTCATGTTTCATTGACATGAAGCCACCTTTTAATATAAACATTCTTCTAACAATCTTCCTTTACAAGGCCAATAATCTCATGTTTCATCAATTATCCATCGTCTCCAATCTAACCTCACCTGCCCACCCCTCACCTCACAAGACAAAAACCATTTCGTCTTAGTTACACACACACACAATTGATATGGCGTTTCTAGAGTATGTGTAAATGTTATTTTTAAAAAATCACCCCGAATTAATTAGTTCTGGAAGATTTATGAAGAGAATAGAAAAAAAAATAGATGCCCATTTTATTATTTACATAAATTTCATTAGAATTTCTCATGGTAACCTATTAGATACTGTTGTTTCCCCTAATGATATTAATGAGCAATTATTTCTCATGGTAACCTTTTAGAAACTGTTGTTTCCCCTAATGATATTAACGAGCAATTATTTCTCATGGTAACCTATTAGAAACTGTTGGTTCCCCTAATGATGATATTCACGTGCATTTATTGCTCGGGGCGTCACTTGATCAGAAGCTAGCCTCCTCCCCAAAAACCCCCTTAGACTCCAGAATTCCCAGGAGCTGCTTTCAAGCGTTTCAGTGCGTTGTTGACTCGTACACTGAGCCGGTTCTCAAAGTCATAATCTTTGTAGTTGTCTTTAATTAGCTGGAGGTGACTTTTCCCTTCTTGAACAGTCTGAAAGAGATGAAATATGGGGTACAGGGTTGACTTATTGGGAGTGCAACACACTCCCTCCGTCCACCTTTTTTTTCTTCTAAATTTTAGAAAATGACATGTACAAGATAACCCCTTTTAACAATGGAATGACTTCAGCAAGAAATTCTTTTTACACTATGGATGAGATACCTCATTCACCATTTATGGTATAGGGTAATACATCGAACATTCATGAGGTTAATGAACCCGCCGTGGATCAGGAGGAATGGCAAATGTTTGGTAGGAGTCACTCAAAATGCTAATAAATGCTTTATTATTTATTTTTTTAAAAGTTTAACCACTAAATATGACCCAAATCATGCTACCGAATCACTTTAATTCCATTTAAAAGTTAGCTTAATACATTGCACTTTGGTTGACGCAAAAAAAAATAATGGTAGACATAAAAATAGAGAACCCTATCGTCTAATGGCTATTTGCCACATTTATGGTATAGTAGACCAATGTTACCCCCCACAGTATGCTAATTCATTGGCTGCCGTTTTCTTTCGCATTCAGGGAAAGGTAAAACCAAGTAACCAATAGGATTGTGAACCCAATAATTTTTACTTGTCATTGTTGGAAGGTAAACTAGGTAAACTTCATATGTCACAAAAGTCATCATAGAACAAAGGCACAATTCAATCAAATAAAGAAAACATTACTGTGCATAGAGGTTACAGATATCCAATCAAATTGCCAATGCAAATTAAAACCTCGCGATTCCAGAAACACGAATGTACAAGGTATTGCTGTACTGTGATTATTAATCATTTCAATAATGGAAACATTTGCTTTTCCCACCACCAGCCCAAATCCATATAGAAGATGTGAAGAATGAAACTACAGCTGTATTATAAGTATCTAAAGTATATTAATGATATGCATGATGATAGGTTAGATGTGATAAACCCCATAGTGGTTGTTAAATGCATGCATGTCGTTTTTTAAATGTATACCAGCTGTCACATGGTGTTGGGGCTGTGACTAACCTGTGGCTGTTTCATGTAAATGGAAGCGAGTTCAAACAAAGTAAACGCTGGGATGTACTGGTCATCTTTTTTACCCTGGTGCCTGGCCAGCGCTTCCTTCAGACACTGCTTACAATCAATGCAAAGAAAAGACAAACAATTTTTTAATCGTAATCATTGGTAGGAATTCTTTCAGAAACTAAAGTCAGGAATACTATTAATGATACTGTAAGGCTTGAAGATGTCTGACTGAAAAAATGTAAGAGTCGTAGAAACATAAGGCAAGTTGATTTTCTAAGGAAGATATGTTCTTAAATATGTATACATAATTAACTAATTTAATCTTTAAATATTATGAATATATCTTAATTAATCAAATGCAGCTGTACACTGACCAATTAAAGATTTCCCCAAATAAAGCCGTACACTGACTAATGAAAGATTTTCCAAAATGAAACTGTACACTGACCAATGAAAGATTTGCCCAAATCCAATTGTACATTCATTGACCCAATGACCAATGAAATATTGGCCCAATAAAGAAATCTTGGGTTTAATTAACAGATCATTCTTAGCATTAAAACCGAAGCAGTAGACAAAGTGAAGCTGCTACAAAGTTAGCAACTAGAGTACAACAATAATCAACACAAGAGATGGGGAGGTTAAGACTGAGAGAGTAAAGAAACTTGAGAAGTATGAGACATAAAAGGAACACACATATAAAAATACAGTCCCCTTTTCCTGTAGCTTGCTATCAACTTGGCAAATATTTTCATAGTAGTTCACTTTCATATTTTCATTGAAAACCAAAATCAGCGATGACTTACATTGACGGCCATCTCATCCTCGCCGAGCTCTTTGTACAAGGCACCCTCCAGTAGACATTTGAGTGGCATTAGGTTGTGGTCACTTTGCATGTCACACACTGGATGGAAATAAGTGTATATGGGACAGATAACGTGTGTGTGGGTGAGAGAGAGATGGTGGAGAGGGAGAGTTGGGTTGAGGTCAAGTTGTAAATAAGTACATATGATGGATGACATGAGTTAAAGCTCTCATGGATGTAAATAATAGATTATGTCATGTGTGAGGTAAGAATCTGGATCTTTCAACAAACTCTTTGTTAAAGAACATTGCATGAAAATATCCATTATCCAAAAAAATAGTGGTGATCATTCAGATCTTGTATCGATTTGGTTAAGATTGCTTCCGAAAAACTGAACTGTCTTCATTGACTTTTGAGTTGATTCTGTCGACATTGAAAACAGATGCTCCTTCCACTTTGAAAGATTATAGGTTAAGGTTATGAGATTAAGTTATAATTATATCAATGTTTTTTTGTTTTTTTACTGCACCGATGAAGAAGGCATGAGCGGAAACGTTTGAATTTAAACTTTGTCTGATCCTAATTAAAGCTCAGCTGCATTGTTTTATTTACATACATTGTTTGTGTCCCTTGAATCTGGCTAAGATTAATTGATAAGCTTCTGCCTATGCTGTAAGGGGACTACATGTTAAAGTGATGCATAGATCCAGTGGTTCTTAACTTTTGGGCCACATTAAACTGAAACGCTGAGGCTTCCTCGTAAGGGGCGCGGCAAAACATTTCAAAATTTTAATAATTTTATTTCCATTTTCAATTCGATGCGATAGGATGCTACATCTAGTGGATGTGGTGCAAACCAACGACACAGCAGCAAATGTTCATAGAAGTCTCTAGAAACAGTAAACAGTTGAATTAGATCAATGACATTTTGTGACCCTAACATATTTCATTTATTTTTTGCCTAACCCTTAAATTTTAAAAAGTATTCACTACTTTGCAGTTTAGAATTTAGCATAGGGCACCTTTGAAAACTCTAGTAAAAGTAAAGAATTTAGCATAGGGCACCTTTGAAAACTCTAGTAAAAGTAAAGAATTTGACATAGGGCATCTTTTGTAAAACTAACATAAAAACTACTTGGTTTCAACTCACTAGACTGTGGCAAACTTTATTGAGGACTCACCATTCAATAGTGGTTTCAACTCACAAGACTTTTGGCAATCTTTATTGAGGACTCACCATTCAGTAGTGGTTTCAACTCACAAGACTTTTGGCAATCTTTATTGAGGACTCACCATTCAGTAGTGGTTTCAACTCACAAGACCTTTGGCAATCTTTATTGAGGACTCACCATTCAGTAGTGGTTTCAACTCCTCAGGAGTGCAGGTAGGAAGGGCGTGCCACAAAAATATCATCTCAAGAGTCAGAAGGCGACAGTGTTCTTGGGTGGGTTTCTGTTTTTTAAACTTTTCAGCCTGTCAATATCAATACATTAATATCCATTTCCGTAGTGAGAAACAATAAAATCCTCCAGATTTAGCATCCTGGTATGAATTGTTATTTCAGAATAAAATAAAACTTAGCGGCAGCCTGGGTAAATCTTATCATGTTTTGAGTTTGGCTCAAGGAGCAAAATTAATTATATTTATTAAGCAAGGTTAAGTTTGTTGCGATCATTTCCTTTAAATTTTTATCTATGCAAAAGACAAACAATATCTGGTGTGTGGGGGGGGGGGGTGCATGCAGAGCTAAACCCTTTCTATGTTTGTTTTACATGAGCATTGTTTAATTTAATGCAGGATATCTTAAAAACATTATTTCTATTTAATCACATACAAATATATTGGTAAAGTAAGTCAATGACCAGGTAATATTAGATGGATTACAATGTATCGCAACACAGAGATGTATTAGTAATTTCAGCTTTAAGAAATTTTGTTCATAGATGTTTAGGAGAGATAAAACAAACAAACAAACAATCATCACTCAAGTGCTACAAAAGGTTTCACTCACCCTCCTGCCAACAAACAATCATCACTCAAGTGTTAGAAAAGGTTTCACTCTCCCTCCTGCCAACAAACAATCATTACTCAAGTGCTAGAAAAGGTTTGACTCACCCTCCTGCCAACAAAGGCCTCTATCTGATTGTTCTTCCTCTTGATAAGTCCTGGCACTTTGTGAAAAATATCATGCGCTGCCTCCACCTCTCCCTGAGATCCTATGCAAACTGTGAACAGAAATGGTCCAAAAATTGGAGGGCAAATAACCTAACTTACAAGTCTTTATTCTTTCTACGATGTAACCACCACAATCTTCTTAAAGAAGAGAACAGGAACTACATAAATCAAAATATTTAAAAATATCAAAATATAAAACAGGAACTGCAAAAATGTTACGCGAGCAGAAAAAATGGAGAGGTGGGGATGGGGGTGTTTACGTATGAATCAGCTCACAAAAAAGGATCTTTATGTTAGAATGGCATTTTGTACACAATGACACACACACACAAAAAAGCAATGGAAAATTAAGCAGAAGTTACTCTATTTCTGACATAACAAATTAGACAATGGCTGTGAATCTAAGAGCCTGCAGCAGAAATTTAAAAAAAAAGACATATTTGGTTGTTAACTACCCTAAAACAGCCATGGCAGAATTATAAACCCCCAGCAGATCAATGACCAGCAGCTCAACAATCAACAACTCACCGGCTACCAGATATGTATAATATGCTTGTGACCACTTGGATTCTTTCTGAAGCCTTATAAAACCCTCTTGGGCCTCTTTCCACTGCAATTTTAACACATGGCACCAACCTGAGGGCATAAATGGACAAATGTTATAAATCAGAAATATTTACAGCTGTATCGAGATAATTCATTCTTAGAAATAGAGAAAAATGGTATAAAAACTGTTTTGATGAACATTCTTGATTGTTTATATATTTCACCATGTTATGCTGCAATTATAGGCCAGAAGACAACAAATGCCTCTAACAACATTTCACAAGGTCTACTACCAGGCTACTCAGAAAATCTGTTATAATTTTTTTAATTTTTTTCAAACAATTCTTTAAAAAAAATATTTTATCAAATACAATAAAAGCCATCAGCAGACAAGAATAAATTATGGTGTTTATCTATATTTATATTTTTCACAATATTTTTTATGACACTCAGATACTTTTTTGTTGTTGTTTTTTTTGGCTAATCCATAATAAAAGTGCACATGGGCAACACACAAGCGAAGCTCTTCCAGGTGATGAGTAAGTAAGTTTAAGAAGCCTTTTTTCAGCACTTACTTATTTCATACAGACACATCAGCTCTATCTCTCTTTGGCCTTTAGCTTCCACTAAAGCTCTTTTGTACAACTTCAAGGACAGATCATTTTTTTTCTAAATGGAAACAAAGAAAAAAAACTGAGAAATCTTTTTAAATTAATTAAATTAAACAATTTTAAAAAAAAATAAAAACTTGAATTCTATCTTCTTATCACCCTAACATTTTTTACATAATTTTAACACAAAACAGATTTGGATGAGATTCTGGGGAAGGTTTTAAAATAATGTGGGCGTTTCATTTTTTTCCAGAATATCAAATACTTGACACTTTCAGGTCAACAACCTTTATCAATTCTTACTTAAACATGATTTATTCAAATTCAGGCAGTCTCTCTGTGTTACTAAGCCTGTTCAATTATCTTAGGAGCAGTATCCGAAACCAAAAAAATTTAAAATGTGATGTGTTAAAAAAGTTTTTTTTTGTTGAAAAATCGCTATTCAGTTCTAGGAACATATTCAATTTAGCACAAAGTCATTGGATGAAACTGTATGGTATGCAGAGTCTCATTACCAAACTGGATTACAATCTGTCTAATAAAGGGGATGTCTCATGATATAACAGACAAAGTTAACAATAAATTTTCATTAAAAGTTCAACTTACCTCTAACCGATGTATCCGGCCTTGGAAGAATAAAAACAAGGAAGAATTGGTGAATTCTCCCTCTTTCTGCTTAATGATGGCCTCTGCTTCTTTTGTCCCTGATGATATTTTTATAATACTTCATTGTAACCAACAGAGTCAAGTCTTTGATGCTTTAAAAAATGATTTTAAGTCTATCTAGGCACAAGCAAACAAATATAACTATCACTTTTTCATAGCAGCAATCTCAGATCTCTTTGTTTACAACACAAGCAGGGGTCTTTTTAATTTTGTTTGAGCACCTTCTGAATCCATACCCTTTTTAATCTGATGAATATTACTTATAACAAGGATGTAAGTACTTTGGTTGAAATCTTATGGCAGCACCATGACACGGTAGGCATGTTAACCCCCCCATGAAAACAGCAATACATAAGCAATGGTTGAAACAAACCTGCTTGAAATTGGTTGGCCCCATCCAAGGCAAAAAATGGCCTCAGCACTGTGTGATACCAGAGCAGTGCTAAAGTTGCCAGTGGCGCCTTCATATCCTTACTATGGCTGGTAAAAGCAAGGCAGTTCAGCCCAATCTGAGGTTAAAAATTCAAGGGAAGTATGTAGTTGATTTTCTTTAGCAAATAATTAAAGCAATTAATAGCATTTTTTTTTAATTAACACTTATTTATAGTATTTTTTTATATGTTCCTCCATGATTTTAGCTGTTAAGTTTGACTACATATCCACCAAATATTCAAAAACATAAGAACATTTGAGAACCTCTCACCTCTCTGTCACCCTCAAAACCAAAGAATTCTATGAGCTTAAGTATTTTGGGGGGCACCATGGATATACAGAGTTGAAATGTTCCATAGCCAAAGTTGACAGCTCCCAATAGACGAGACAGGACATCCACCGTCAACTCCAGGTCCTCATTGTCATCAAGAGAACCATTGCTTTCAGAGTGATTAGGGCCTTCTGGACCAGGATTATTTTTGGGGGCTGGGTCAACGGACGAAGAGAAATTTGGAAGCTTGGCAATTTTATTTTGAGCCAAAGTTTCAGTCAGTTGTGTCACCTCCCTGAGGAGGAACAAGTAATTGAAATTTCAGCAATGTAAAAGCGGATGGACTTTCAACTAAGCACCAACTAATGCATAGTTAAGCAATGACTAAAGTAGAAAGAGTAAATAGATAAATAAGTGAATTAAAGTCCAGATCACATTACTTATACAACATTTTATTTCAAAACATTACTTTTTTTAAAATCTAAATAACCAGATGAGTTAATGAATATTAGTTTGAACTTACTTGTGCAACTTTTCATAAATTTTCCAGGCTTTGCGTAGCAACCATCCACCTTTTACATAGCTGGGTATATCTTGATTGGTGAACACAAGGATGGCTTGGTAGAGAAGGCAATCTGCCACAATGACCTGATTGGTTATTCGCTCTTCTAAGTTCAAGGCATTTTCTGACTAAAAAGAATAGATAAAATTAAAAGTAACCTTAACTACTCACCCCAAATTTTAGTAAGTATATTTGATGTTGACCAACAGGAATCAAAAGAAAGAAAAAAAAACTTATTGGAAGCTTATAAAGGGATAATCAGCAACTTTTACTTTTCTTAAAACAAATTTAGATTAATTTAGTTGGACTGTGTCTTAAATCCAAAAATGAGTTAAGGATTAAATTGACATATAATATTCATATTATTTTAATTTATTCATTGGTATTGTCAAAAATAAGTCTACAAAATGCCAAGTGAAAATTTCAATAAAAACCACAGAACCAGGACTATTGAAAATAATTTAGGCTATGCCTTGTAGTGGTCCTCACCTTCTTCTTCTTTGACTTTGAAAATTTCTTTTTGAAAGATTTCACAAAACCATCATTGGAGGCACATTTTTTTTCAGTCTCTTGCAAAACCTTGTGAGCCTCTCCAAGCTTCTCTTCTTCAAATGACATCAGTGCTTGCTGAGAAAAGAAGTGATAACAACATGGGTCACTTTCTTTGATAGTTATCACAGATGCTTTGGTATTGTTACAAGATGTTTTGCTACAGCATTAATTATAGCCTATAAATCCAGTTGACACTAGCTAAAAGAAATGGTGAGAAAGATGATTTCTGTCATAATTATGATTTCTTAAAGATATATAGATGAGTAAGTTTCAAGTTACCATAAAGAAGACAAAACTGTATCCAGAGTGCATCAGGGGACTTTCATTTCTGTAGGTGATAATTTAAATAGGTTTGATTTATTTTAAAACTTTGATTAGTACAGGAGTATTATTGTAAAAATACATCACATAACTAAATTAGCCTATGATGGGTGCCAAGTTTTAGCAATTTTTAACCTTTACAAGAGTGAAAATGTGCCAGTCTTTAAACATTCCGCCCTGCCTGCTGGCCCTCACGTTTTCTTTAGCAGATATAATTTATAAAATGGGTTTTCACTCAAAAAAGGTTGCTGACCCATGACTGAGTGGTCTCACCCTAAGCACTGGACTTAAAGTGAATAGACTAAACGGTGTGTGTGAACTTTCGCATTACTTGCATTATAAACTAAATCTGACAATCGACACAATTAAAATGAAGTATATTAAATGAAATTTCCATTTACTTTTATTAATATTCAACCCACAAGGTTCAAAAGAAATGAAAAAAGAAACACATCCAAGATGAACACCGGGGGGGGAGCTTTATGCTAAAAGTCCTGCTTTTGATTGGTTGAAAAATGAAGTAGCCTACCCCTGCCCCTATCCATGGTCCATATGCCTATGCTATTAATTTCTATCATGTGGTCATGTTTAATTGTTTCTTCTGTTAGACAATAAAAGAGCAAATAAATTAACATAAAACAGATATTAATAGGACCATCACAATTTCATTTTGTACCAATTTATTAATATATGTTTTATCAGACAATGACAATGTAATTTAACTCTCAGTCTCAGCACTTAAGAATTTCCCGAAGATATGTCCATGTCTGGGCTAAAATTAAGGAGGGATGCCACGGCGTCTTTTGTGTGTTTATTATAGTTGCAGTGAATTAGGGTTTAGGTGAGGTTGAGGGATCGATTTAGGGTTCAGATTAGGCATAGGGATCAATTTAGGGTTCAGGTTAGGCATAGGGATTGATTTAGGGTTCAGGTTAGGCATAGGGATCGATTTAGGGATACATTCGTGAAATTCGATAAAATAGTGGCATTCGTCCTTAAAATTTACTCATGTCTGATACGATTTCTGTACACAAACTCATCTAGATATGATGGAAATAAAGTTTTACTAGATCACAACTGCAACTTAGCCAACTAGCTTAGTTCTTAATATTGGTCTGTCGGCCATGGGCCATAGCACCCATGGTTTATTTTATTATTGATTATTGTAGTACAACTTTTACATTTTTGAAAAACTAGCTACTGACACAGAAAACATGAAGTAAAGTAAGAAGAAAACAAGAGATAATTGGGGACGTTAAACTCCAGCATTACCAAAACATTCTTACTTATATTTGTCGAAAAGAGCAAATGCTTCATCGAAGCCATTATTTAATAGCATATTAATTCCAGTTCGAGCCATTTCTATATCATCGAAAACTGGTTCATCATTGTCTCCCGCTGCTCCATTTAAGTCTTCCATTTGTGATTTTGTGCCTTCTGCCATTACATCAAATAAAAGTTGTATTGAACGTATAATCTGGCGTCTTTTTATACGTATGTATCTGTTTTATAAACCAATTATGACCCTCAAATTATGAAATTGAGACTAATAGCGAAGAGACAGCGATTGTGGGTGTATCAATGAACATTGTAAATAGGCGCAGCCATGATGCTATGGTAGCGTTTATACTAATTTGATTGGTCAGCTGGTTTGCTTTTCTCTGATCTCTAAACAAAAGAGCTTACTTTTTCTACACTCCAATTAATAAGATTTAAAATCTAAAAACAAATTAAATGTGAACGTTGATTAATTTTTCCCAAGTTTTGTCTCTTCCTTGCTACGTCTGGTAGTTGTAAACTTTGAAAGACATGAAATAATTCTAGCTTTTAAAGTTCTTTAGTAAGTATGTCTGTTTTACTTGGTGTGATCGACCAAGCAATCGGAAAATCAGACACCATAGGCTGGGAAACAAGTAAAGTTGGAGGATTACCAGTAAGTAAGTTTTAGTTTATTTCGTCGTTTTAGTTTTAGTTAAGACCGCGTTAGTACTTGACTGCCTTGCCGATTGCCTTAGGCCTTAGTTAGTAAGTAATAAGTAAGGTTAACTTATTTACTTTTACTTAGTAAGTAAGACTTAGAGACAATCAAATAGATTTAGATAGAGAGATTTTTTAAATTTTAGTTTATTATTAGTCACTTAGCCTGGCACTTCTTATGTCTGACTACTCAGGCCCAGAGCTCAGCCTATTCAAAATTAGGCCATCTAGGGCTCATTTAGGCCTAATCGGCCTAATTCTAATCACTAATACTAATACTTATAGTAATAGTATTAATAGAATTACTTATATTTTTAGTATTACTCATTAGTGACTCATTAGTATAGTCATTATTATTAAGCCCTATCTTTATACTTCATTAGGCAGATACTTTATCAATCATATTCATATGTTTTTATGATTTTATGATAGTACAGTAATAGTATCAGTATTGTCAATATCGCCAGTAGTATAACGACACTATCATATGAAAGTATTAGTATTAGTATTAGTCTTCCTCTTCATTTACATCTTTGCCTTTTCAACAGTGGAGCATATATGGCATATAAGGCATATATTTGACATTATAATAATTCTTTTCCCATTCCAAGCTTTCCGGGCTCTAGTTATCCCTCTAACTCTAACTCAGTCCAGTCCTATAATTTCATGAAATTAATAAGCTAATTATAGGCAGGTAAATGAAGTGAACTTTTCTGTTTGATGATGTGAATTAAATCATAATATTTATTTTTATCAATGTGTTATTATTAATGTTAATCAAACATTTTTGTTATTAACTTTTCAGGAATGGATTCAGCCAGGGACATCAACCAAAGACATCAAGTGTAAATCTTGTAACCAAAGCTGTTCTTTGATAGCACAGCTTTATTGTCCATTGAATGGATCACCATTTCACAGATGCCTCTATATATTTGTCTGCTGTGGAGACTGTAGTAAAAACCCAAGTGGGTAGGTTGTATATTTTATAGGTCAAGCTAACTGATGACATGTGACCAATGACATCACTGACAACAGTTTTTGCTTTACATCCCAAAAGATGAATTATTGCACTTTCTTTAAAGTTTTAATGAATGGTTATTTAATTTTGTTAAGGTGGGTGGGGTGCGAATTATTTCCTGTTTTTTTTTTTTAATTTGTAATTATATTGTCTACAACTACTTTGTTTTCTGTTAATATAAAAGTTATATTACAATGCCTATGTTGAAAATTGCCCCTTTTTTTCTTTTTACTATAAAATTTAAAAAACACATCTATAGATAGTATTTTGTGGTAAGATAAAAAAAATGATTAACCTTTTGTTTATTAACAGGTGGAGAGTGTTTAGATCAATGGTTTATGACAAAAGTTATGATTCAATGGTCATCAAGAAAGAATCATCAGCTGGAACAGGAACACAATTTGATAGTTGGACTGATGACCAGGAAAACTGGTGTGATGACTCAGATGACTGGGGTGTGGGATCAGGTGACTGGGGAACTGGGTCAGATGACTGCTGCACCAATAAAAGTTTCGCCCCACCAGTAAATGGTTCCACAGAGGCCAATCTAAATCCTAGTTATAAGTTGACAGATGATTTGAGCAAGTTAGTTGTCACAGATATCAATTCTAAAGTATTGCCAAAAGAGACAAAGCACAGTTTCTCAAGCCTGAATGCAATAGACTCAGAAGATACTGTCAATAAAGTTTCCAAAGTTGAGACAGAAGCTTTTGCACTGGTAGGTATATTATTGACTTAAAGTATTACATTCATAAGATAATGGTATTAATTTTAAGGATGGGAATTTCAGATTGTGACTAAGGATGACAGACTGTGACTTTAAAAAAAAAAATTCCAATTGTGCAATAAAAAAAAATATCCAGCTTAAATTCTTTAGTGCACTTTATAATTGTTTGACTCTAACTCCAACTTGGGGCCTCTGAGTACAATATTGGAAATGAATCTGGCACCATCAAAAATGTCTGAACCTAAGCCATGACATCATTATACTAATACATTTATTAAAATTATTCACAGTTAAAATTTCTTGGAGATGCCACTAAATTATCACTGTAGTGAAATCCTGAAAGTAACATTTATCATAGTTTTGTTGTTGTTATTTGCGGTGAATAAATGAATGTTCAAATATTAGAAGCAATTTGAATTTATTTTGGATTTAATAGTGATTCAATTTTTTTCTTAAATTTGTTCCCCCCTCTAGCTCAGGATTGGAAATGATCCTGGGTCAGGAAACGATGGAGAGAAAACCAGAGATGAAGGTGAGAGTATTTATTTGCACTGTTGATAAATAAAGGCTTGAAATGAAAACAGTTTTTTATTTCTCTATGGTTTAACACTTTTTTTATCCACTTTACGCTTTTAATAAATGACCGTATCTCCAATCTGGATTAAGTACAGCACTGTGTAAAGAAGGTTAAAATCACATAATATTATTAATAATGCTGAGTAGTTTGGTGAAAGAGGAAGATTATTTTCAGAGTGCATGCATAATAAGTGAACACAAAGGAATGCTTTGAGTAGAAACCATATAGGCATCATTACTTAACCTACGTGAGTACTACAATGTGGGGTGATAAAAGTGTTGCTACTTTCATTTATTTTTTTGGAGACAGAGAGAGAAAAGTAAACTATCCCTTACTAAAGGGAGGAGCATTCATTAATCTTTGTATTTATTTAACGGATGCTGATTGAAACCTATGCAAATAAAAAAATATTTTAAAAACATTGCAGGCACTATTAAGTAATAGATTTGTGGTATTTAATAATGACTGAATTTGACTTGTTTTAGAATTTTATAATATAAAAGCATCATTACCTCATTCTTTAGTTCAAATGCTCTAAGAAATTATTAGTGTGTTGTTGAATCCTGAAGATGGATTCATAGCATTCTGGTGATTTCACTTCATCAAACACCCCATTCATGTACGAAAGCAAAGACTAATGGAAATTAGGATCTAAATCCCATCAGTCTGTGCCTTCTCTTAGACTTTGTTCCATTTAAATTGAAATTTCTTGCAGATTCCATTTTCTTTTATTAATTCAATGTCTTTTACTCCAGACAGAGCTGAACCAATCTTAAACAATGGTAAACAATCAGATATAAGTGAGCCACAAGTCATGTTAGAGGAGATTGGTCTTCCTGACTCAGAAAGAGTTTTTGCTATGGCTCAAATACTCAACACTTCTCATAAAGAGGTATGACTGCAATGTGTTTTGTGTGATTTATTTGTTAATAATACTATTGTAACCTATAAATTAATAAATCAGTAAATTTAATACATATTAAAAATAAATATTATATTTTCACTCCCCCTTTCTTTGTTGGGTCTGGTACATTTTCAGTGCTTTCCCCATATTCATTATGTGCATATTAGCTAAAGGTTTTAAAATTGTTTGTTTGTGTTCTTATCAAGGTTCCGGAGCAGAGTCCACTAGGAGTAATGGCCCCTGTTATTTTCAAACCCTACTATCTCTCTGTTGTGGATGAGCCTGATGACCACGAATTCAGGAAAGACGATCATGTTGCAGATCTTATTCAGCGTTATGAGCAGGCTGAGGGAAAACAGCTTTCCCTGCTGCTCTCTGATGGGTTAGTTGTTGGTTGCTATCAAAATTATCTGCTCTGTTATGATAAGAAAACATTTTCTAAAAAATTTTGATTGATTGTGCACAGCCCAGCTGAAAAAAATTGAGACACCAACATTAAGGAAAAGAGGGCTCACTGTTCTCTTTTCTTTCAGCCCGGGCAAGGCAAAAGTTGGTTTAGAGACGTATGAGAAAACAGAGTTAAAACATGGTGATAAGATGTTTCACAAGTTCTTGAAAAGACTGCAAAGACATCCACAGCAAAGCATCAGGTAAAGTATTGTTGGCTCCAGCACACACTGCTGTTTTCAATTAATTTTTTATTTCCCAATTGAGGCTTAAAACAAAGCTTGTGGACCAGTTGCCCAACTAGTTGTTGAAACATAACACTGTCATTAAATGAAAGGTGCCTTTAATTTCAGGGTTTGAAGAGCTTTGTGTTCAATTCATGTTTTTGTTTCAGGTATGACCGGGGAGGCAAGCCCCTATTGGTCAGTGAATTAGATAACTCCCTGTCCATTCCTCCCTGCCTGCACTGTGGAAGTGAGCAAATATTTGAGTTGCAGTTAATGTCTCCCCTTATTGCCTGGCTGAACCCGCTAGATAGTGAGTATATGTTGTCTACTTTCACTTTGTGGTGGAAACCTTTTCATATTGAGCACATGTTATCTCCCCTTATTGTGCAGTAGAAACCTTTTCATAGTGAGTTTATGTTGTTTCCCTAATTGTGTGGTGGAAACCTTGAGGTAGTTAGTATATGTTATCTCCCCTTATTGTGTGGTGGAAACCATGAGATGGTAGACCTTTTTAATATAAGTATATTACATTTCCATTTTTTTTTTTTTGACAAGTTGATGAGAAATGATCCATTTCTCCCAATATTTCAATAGTCAAAACTAGGGTAGAGTAGTGGAGAAATATATAAAGACTCTTGTTTCTGTGTTAACTACTCTGATTGTGTTTCAAGCAGATGTTTTGCTCTAATCATTTGAAGTCTTCCAGTTTTCAAGATTAATAAGATGAGATTTTTCTTGGTTTCTTAATGTTATAACTATACATGTAATTTTTCTGGTTATATGTTGCTTCAGTCAAAGTTTGTACTACATGGTCCTTCTGTTGATGTATTCTTATCCAGAATGGTGGCAAACAGAAAAATTTCTGTAATTTAGTGTTATTAAAAAAAATAATGTTCCTTTTTTTTATGTTTTTTAAGGACTTGTTATAACTCATAAAAATTATTTTTTTAAAGTAACTGTCCTGTTAAACTAGTTGGTACTTCAGCTATTTAAAAACTAATTAAAAAATTGTGTTATTTTTTGTAATGTAATTTCAGGTAGCTCTATCAGTGTTGATTATTTTAAAATCTCATTTCTTCCAGATGGCGCTATCAATGTTGATTATGGAACAGTAGTTGTATATACCTGTCAAAAGAACTGCTGGCCCTCAGCTTCTGACATTGACAGCCAACCTGGCCTTTTAGAAGAATACATTATTTTGCAGGCTGACCCAGATCACCATTTGTATAAATAGTGTTATTTTTTTCTGCGATGACTAAATTAAATAAATAAAAAGTATTAAAATAGTGAAATACTTGTTAACTTTTTTTTTTCCTGTACCTCTGACTTAACAATATAAGTTTTAAATTAAAGCGATGTGTTTTGTGTGTGAGGATGTTAATGAATGCATGGGTTTGAGGTGTTGAGTGTAGTAGGCAGGCTGTGCCAGATTTACAAATAATAATAATAAATAATATTAATAAAGTTTATTTCAAAAACACGCTTCATCCCCAAAGGCTCGAAGCGCTGTACAAAGTAAAAAAAAAAAAAAAATAATTTATAATTTAGTTTGAGGTGTTGGGTGTAGTAGGAAGGATGTGACAAAATTACAAATAATAATAATAAATAATATTAAAAAATTTTATTTAAAAAACACGCTTCATCCCAAAAGGCTCGAAGCGCTGTACAAAAAAAAAAAAAAAAAAAAAATAATTTATAATTTACCACATTTAAAACAAACGCAACACTACAAAAACTAAGCTAAATGAGCTACAACTTAGGGTCTCACAATCAGCCTGGGCCTCAAAAAAATTCCTTTTAATTATATTTTTTCTTTTAATTACCTATTTTTTTCAAAATGTATTTTATTAAAAATTTTCCAGTTAAACTTCTATAATTTTATTGTCTTAGACTGATAATTTTGAGCAATCTCTATATCAAATTAGTATATTATATCTAGGGTGAATCTCAATACAAAACGATTAACTGTCCTTCCAGTGTTGCCACTCCTTGGTTTTTCTGCTCTTGTCTATGTTTTTGACTCTAGAATCTTAGTTCTCTTTTCATTGCCAATATTTCTTTCAACATAACGTGTATTACTACGATTTAATAAAAATTAAAAGACTATATTTCCATCTATTTAAATGGCTACATATTTTAATTTGTTTCTTTTACCAGCTGATGTAATTTAAAAAATTTAGGCGGCCCCTGGACTTTGTGTATCTTAGGGCCTCGGCAAGTTTAAGTCAGGTCCTGGTTTCAAAGTTTAAATATTACAAATTCATCTTGACACCATCAGATTAAAAATGATTAAAACAGGATGTTCATCTTATCTAATTTTAAATGTTCATAATGATATGAACAAAAAAAAATAATCACTGAGCTTGCCATCCATCCCTCAGTAAAAGCAGAGCACATACATTGAAAATACATAGGCAAAAGTGTAAAGATGACTGTCACACTCACTTCCACTGCCAAACTGTCATATCCTTAGTGACAGGGTGTAATTATTATTAATTAATCTTGAGCTGCTCTTATCTGTTTTGGACAAGGGCAAGCAAAAGCTGAATTACTGCGCCCTCTTCCCAAAATAAGCGTATTTATTAATAGATATATTTAGCTTGACAATGTTGGCGCCCAGGGCAGGTGCCCCAACCCCCCCCCCCCCCCCCCCGCCCCACATACACTTTCACATAAGCATAAGCGTGTTTGGGAATAATCCTCTCACAGTCACAGGAGACTGGATCAGGATAATACATTTTGGTAAAGAGTACAGAGTATCCCTTAATGAATTTAAAAAAAATTAAACAGAACAGTTTCAATGGATCATTTTTTCTGTGTCTGATTTGTCTTGTGTAGGCTTGTGAAAATTGCGATATTTTGTTTAAATACTGGAATATACAAAATATTTTTAGTACCAGGAACTCTTCCTTATTATTTTACCTTCTTCCTTCCTCGACAGAAAAAAATTAAATTTAGGTTGCAGAAGACAAAATAATTGCTGCCTACAGAAAGTGGCGAACCAGATGAACCACGCATTTTTCGTCCCTTGACCTCGAGCTCTTTACCTAAATCCAAATTTTCTCATTCTCCTCTTTTAGTCTAGACTGGGCGAAAAATACACTAGTATAGTAACGAAATAAATTTGAAATCTGAAATTCTTTCTTACAATGATTTCTGCTTAGATATTTCCTAGTCATTTTTTTAAAAGTCCGCTTAAATATTTCCTATAAAAGGTTATGGGTAAAGATAGTGGGAATGGTGTGGGTGTATCAGAGGCGTAGCGAGGGTGTTTGGCGCCCGGGGGGACAAGATTCGCGCCCGGCGACAAGATCTATTTAAAGAGCCCCCTTTTCTTTTTTTTCAACTCTCAAACCCATTATTTTTACCAATGATATAATATCAAAGCACATTTTGGCGCCCCTAATTAGCTTGCGCCCGGGGACATCTGCCCCCCCCTCCCCATCGCTACTGCAATTTTAAAATATAATAATAATAAAGATTTCAGTTTTTTTCGTTTGTCTGTGTAAGTGAAACTTCCAGTTCCCGTAAATGCGCGCCAAGTCCTGTAACTCATATCAACAAATCGTCGCAATAATTTGTGGAAATTTTTATTGCTTGCTGATGTTATGATGTTACTGCTTATTGCGATTAATTTGTTTATCTAGTGATTGTCAACATCTTTTTAACACAAACATGTCTAAAACTCCAAAAGGAAAACAGTCTAATACACTATTTTCATACTTTCAAAAGACTCCAAAATTGGAAAAGTCAGGGGAAATCTTGTCACCACGGAAATCACCGAATTCCGATAAGAAGAAAAATTGCACAATTACCGAGCCGAATACTGCAAAATCGAACAATGCAAAAAAGGGAACAGAAACAACAGGTAAATATTGGTGTTTTACATAAAATGTCCGTAAAATATTACCGTACCATTTTGTAGATTACTGTAGAAGCCAGTAGTAGTAGTACTAGTAGTAGTGTTGTCAGTGTTGTGGCTTAAACTTAAGGTAGATACTTTTGTCAAAAATGTAAACATTTTTTAAAAATAAACCAATGGCACAGTTGAATAGAGCTAATTTTAAACAGAATTATTTATAACACCAAAATCATATTTTTAGCTGTTGTAGTTTTAAAGTTATGAATTTTTAAAGTACGACTTGGTTTGTCATTTTTTAACATGGACTTCATCTCCACATTCTGTGACCTCATTCTAGGTACCCCAACTCAAATTTTTAAATACATCTAACACACACAAAGAGCACATCATTGGAAAGAGCTGGCTTTAAGCTTTCCAATGACACCAAGATGATCTTTGTATCATGTATAGGAAAAAAGTTATGATTTTTTTAGTGATTTATTTTTTACCTCTATTCGGCTTTGTATTTAATTTTTAAAACTGTGATCGAATTATTGCTCTGTTTGTACTATTTTGTTTGTATCCTTTTGGCTATTAAAGTTAGAGCGCTCAAATTTGGAGGAGACATGAACAATATAATGTTTAACAAAACAAAACACTTGAACTGTGAATTAACTTATTTTATTTTATAAAATATGACTTTTTGAGCATATGGCGTGGATAACGTCAAGTGTCGAATAATTTTATTTTACAAAAAAATGACATAATTATTAAACCAATAAAGCTATTGCTATAAAATTTTCAAATCAAACAGATAATGTACATCTAAAAGTAAGGCAAATTTAAAATAAATAAAATTCAGATCAGAAAAATTTATTAAATATTAGAAAAATTATTTCAATAAAAGCAACCACGGCCGAGAAATTTTTACATTTAAATACATAACTTTTAAAATAATAAAGCTACTGCAATGAAATTTTCAGTACAAATAGATAGTCACAATTTAAATGTAATGGAATATTCAAATATTAAAAAGGTAATTAAAATCATGAAATACAAAATTCAAAAATGTCATGTAAGTTGTCGACATTGAAATTGATGTACCGGTGCATTTATAAACATTCAAGATATGGTTCGTGGCTCCGAGCTCTAGCAACTCTTCATCCTCACTAATTGGCAGATTAAAAACATCTTCCTCTATTGTCAAAATAAAATTGATTTGTGTCTGAATCTCCCTGAATCTCCTCCAGCATGGCAGTGCATGTCCTTGTTTGGAATCCTATGCCTATTATTGAAAAAACAAATAAATAAAAAAGATATTAGGAACACATAAAAAAATCAATATTTTTAAACAGGTTACACAATGTTCTTTAGTTGAGGAAGATTTATATTTATTAATAACATAGGACAAGAGGCTGTCTTAATTTCTTTTCATGTCACCTCACTCTTATCTTTCTATAACTATAATTAATAATATAATTTAGTACTGTGTGTATAGTCTATCATTTATGTATTACTGGAGCAAATATATGAACTATATAAGGCCTTAAGTAAAACTACTATTAAACACTGTTATTAAAAGTGCAAATTGAGGTAATCAAACTAGTTTATTATAATACAGCAAATATTTATTAAACTGTTTGAAAAACGTTTTTAATAATAATAATACCACTGTTTACATTAGAGATTTACCTCTTCCGGTAGGTCAAGTGAAAAAAAAATGGCTGCCAACGGCTGTTTTTAATTTTTTTTTCACATGTCGACAAGAATTGTAAATTCGTGCTATTATCTATATTGTTTTAAATAAGTGATTCATTTTTAGCAATATATAAGCTATGCATCAAAGTAATTTCCAAGTCCGTCAAGCATTTAAAAAAATTAAAAAAGCACGGCGAAATCACTTACCCCACTTTCACTTTACAACAGATCATCTCAGCGTAGTCGGATTTCCACTTTATTTATATCCTCGTAACCGTCATGCACCGCGGAATCAAAATAAAATAAGGAGGTTCATCTATTTTAAGAAAAGACGCAAAACAACGCTAAGTCACGACAACTACCGAAAACGGTCAGCGCCGGCTGATCACAGCGATAGGTGGCGAATAGCCCGCGTCTTCCTACTGCCCGCGAAGCGAGTATTGGAGTGCCTACTCATTCCACTGATCGAGTCATGCGCAATGACTATATAGTTTATATAAGGCAACGCATTCCCTATCACTAAAATACTGTTTAGGGTCGACTTATTTTAAACTTTCAACTTTGGCACATGAATAATTAATAAAAGCTTTCCCTGACCAATGGTTTAATAGCTTTTGCACACGGCAAACTCTTATGAATGAAACTCTGAGATAGTACTACGACGTAGCCGTTATGCAAGTGGCTGTGAATGGTTGCCAATGACAACGTGTTGCACAGGGAAAATTCTGATCATTTATAATATGGACTCTG